ATTTTGCAAACCACAGCTCAAAACCGAGCTAATCAGAGCCGACCGCCGCCCTCCCTGCGGTGCGCCGAGCCGGGGTGGCGCCGATAGAGCCGAGCAGAATGCGACGCTGGTCGGCAGTGGGTCCCGAGGCCGGGCGCTCGATGGGAGATCCCGGGACGGCTAAATCCTCCACTGCGCCGGGCCAAACACCCTAAGCGCGGGCGGCGGCAGTGAACCCAGCGCATTAACAGTGCAACCGGCGACCCGTCGACACGCGATTGGAGCGCAAAAACATGAGGCAAAGACAGCGGCCGTGCAGAGCGGCTGTTTGATCTTCTCAAAGTCAGATTTATGGGTGCCTGGTGTGGTGGTTCCTGGTGTGCTCCGGCCCCACGGGGGGTGAACCGCGACCAAGTGCCGAGAAGAACGCATTGCCGTCTCTAGAGTTGGATGCAAAAGCTTCCTCCGCACCGCGCGGCGTTGTAGCAGTCAGGTTCTTCCGGACTTGAGGTGAACCTTGGGCGAGACCGGCCATTGTCTGTCGTGTGTCTAGGGGGCCATGACATCGGGAACAAGCGCGATACCGAGCATTCAGGCAAAAGGGGATCGGAACCATTGAACCCCTTCTCTCTAGGATTGGCACAGAATTAAGCATTTTTTATGGTTCCCATCTTTTTTGCCTGAATGTTGCAGTTTGTCGTGAGTTTCTGACAGAGATGCAGACAGCTGCCAACGGGCTTGTCACCACACACCCTCACACTCCAACAGACGAAAGTCTGTGCCTGCAGGATGCGACGACGAGTAGTCAGCGCCAGGAGCAATGTGAAGGGATTTGGACAGATGCCGATTCTGCGCAGGAACGTATCACCGTTATGCTTGCAATTACACGCCGCATCCTCGCCAACCGGAATCAACCGGAGCAAGCCAAGCAAATGGCAGTCAAACAGCAGAAAAGCAGCAAGAATGACGCCAGGTTTCGCGCTCCAGTTGCATCCTGTTGGCGTGGTGTCCTTCGCAGTGTTCCATACGAACCCCGGCAGTGGTTGCTCTGGAGCCACAAGCGGACATCACAGGTGCGGGTCGCGGAGGGCGCCATGCCTCTCTGGGCAAGGAATGACGCCGATCATGCCTTTGAGCCCCAATCTTCCCGAGGCACCCACGGCATCTGGCCCACCACACGATTCCTACCCGGTGAGGCACATCAAAAGGGGTACAAGGCGACTTCTCCAACGATTTGAAGACACCAAGTAACTGTTAGTAACTGCCACTAATACGAACTGCCAGCCATGAAATGCCCAGAGAAACACCAGCTAAACACCTGGAGACATGACTGGCTCGGATCAAGCATGTCAGGTAGAGTCTTGGCCGCAAAGGCCGCCATTTGGCCTCTTGTTATTGACATTGTCCGAAGTTCTGTTTCTCGTGTTCCCCAATTTTCCCCAAGTCCGTCCACTATTCCCCCAAGCATTTCCCCTCTCCATCACCCCGGCCTCATCTTTTCCCCTCACGCTCCACTCTACACACTTTACATGGCAACACGCAGAGAAAACAACAGAGGCATTTGGAGGACTCTTGACTTTCTTAATTTTGTCTAGAATTCTCGCTGTTTGCCCCTGGAAACTATGGCCATTCGTAGCTCACTTCCATCCCAGACGCATGAATCTTTCCAGCGTAAGAATACAAATTAGCACTAACAAGAAAAAAAAAGGGCAGACTCCACGCGTTAATCGCCCCAGACCAAAACCCCCAACCTCAAAAGCCGGACCAGGCCATGTCCTTGGCTTTCTCGCCCGTACATGACGTCGTTCGCGCCCCAGACCCGCCCACAATCCTGCCCTCTCATACGTGCGCTTAAAGAAACCAGATGATTAAGCCCGTTCTACCGCTCCCCGAAATGGGCTTCAGACAATGGGGCTCTGGCTCTTTTGTTCATCCCCCATGGCGCGACGGGCCATGCCTTACCGCATCCGCCTTAATACCGTCTGCGCCTGATGCCGACTCCACCGCCGCCCGCGTGCGACAACCAACGACATGCTGGTGAGCAGGGGTGTGGTATGTGTGGGAAAGAAAGAGAGAAACGCCGACTAAGAAAACTGGCTCCCGGGACTGTGCTGTCGGGCTTGTTGATTTGGCTCCTCGGTGATATTTGTCGGTCAACCGGTGCCATTACACCGGGACATCTTCAGTTGGCTATATAACCATCCGTCCCCCTTCTCACACACCTGTGGCTCTGTCTCGTGTCTGAGTATCCAGGGCCTAGTCTTCGCCAGCGTTTTATCGCGCCATTCTCCCGTCCATCTGATCACCTCGACAACAAAGGAACTACATCGCGTTCTCAAGACCTCACAGAGGCAAACCACCCATCATGTATCGCATATGGAACATCTACGGTAAGCACCTCAACCCAATTTACACGTTCGGCACGTACTAACCTGCCCCGTCTTCTAGCCCTCGCCGCCTTCGGCACCATCGGCGGCATGCTCTTCGGCTTCGACATCAGCTCCATGAGTGCCTGGATCGGATCCGAGGCCTACATGGAGTTCTTCAACCACCCCTCCTCGACCATGCAGGGCGGTATCACCGCCTCCATGTCCGGCGGCTCCCTCGTCGGGGCCCTCGTCGCCGGGTTCCTCGCCGACGCCTTGGGCCGCCGCGGCGCGCTCAAGATCGCCTCCGTCATCTGGATCGTCGGCGCCGTCCTCCAATGCTCGTCGCAGAACGTCGCCCACCTCATCGTCGGCCGCATCGTCAGCGGTCTCGCCATCGGCATTACAAGTTCTCAGTGCTGCGTGTACCTCGCTGAGCTCGCTCCCTCCCGCATCCGAGGTAAGTCATCCGTGCCTCATAACCCTTCTGAAGCCAAAGAAATCTCACACATCCGCAGGCCGTATTGTGGGAATCCAGCAGTGGAGCATCGAATGGGGCATCCTCATCATGTACCTCATCTCCTACGGCTGCGTCGTCTCCATGCCCAACGACCCCAAGGCCTTTCGCATCGCGTGGGGCGTCCAGGGCATCCCCGGTCTCATCCTCGGCATCGCCCTCTTCTTCTTCCCCGAGTCACCCCGTTGGCTGGGCCAGAAGGACCGCTGGGAGGAGTGCCACGAGGTTCTCGCCCACTTGCATGGCGGCGGTGACCGCGATTCGCCCGTCGTTATCGCCGAGTTGGACGAGGTCAAGGACGCCGCCCGTGTCGCCGCCGAGTCCAAGAACATCGGCGTTCTGGGACTCTTCGGTCCCAAGATCTGGAAGCGCACTCTCGCCGGGTGCTCGGTGCAGGTGTGGCAACAACTGCTCGGAGGCAATGTGATGCTCTACTATCTCGTTTACATCTTCAACATGGCTGGCATGGTAGGTTGTCGTTCTCATCAATGCATCCTCCTCACTGACAATTTCGCAGAGCGGTAACGTCGCCCTCACCTCCTCGATCATCCAATATGTAATCTTCCTCGTCACGACCGGCGCCATCCTCCCCATCATCGACCGCCTCGGCCGCCGACCCCTCCTCATCGGCGGTGCGATCATCTGCTGCATCATCCACTTCACTACCGGCGCCGTCATGGCCTCGTACGGTCACGCAGTCGACTCCGTCGACGGCAACGACATCCTCAAGTGGTCCATTCAAGGCCCTCCGGCCAAGGCCGTCATTGCCCTTTGCTACATCTTCGTCGGCGTCTACGGTCTCACCTGGGCGCCCATCGGTTGGATCTACGCCGCCGAGGTCTTCCCTCTCAAGTACCGCGCCACGGGTGTCGGCCTGGCCGCGGCCTCCAACTGGGCCTTCAACCTTGCCCTCGCCTTCTTCGTCCCGCCGGCCTTCACCAACATCCAATGGAAGACTTACATGATTTTCGGCACCTTCTGTTTCGCCATGACGTTCCACATCTTCTTCACGTACCCCGAGACCGCCGGCAAGACGCTGGAAGAGATCGATGTGCTCTTCGACTCAGACATCCCTGCCTGGCGCAGCCGCAGTGCTGGTGTGCGCTTCGAGGACCGCGTTGCGGCTGTGGAGGACAAGAAGGATGGAATGAGAGAGGCCACTCACTCTGAGCAGGTCTAGAGAGAGATACCCCCCGTCACTTAGATTTTCGTATTCAAAGTAGTTTGTTCGCTGCAAATCCGCTGCAGGATTTCATGTCAATATTTTGAGTTATCCATCATTGTCAATACTTTGAGTTATCCATCATTGTCAATACTTTGAGTTATCCATCATGATCGAACTGTGATTCCCGACGGGATGAACACCATCACCGCCCATTGTCTGTGTACGATGAAAGTTCTAGCCTGGCGGCTGTCAGTAGCTCAGCTGTAGCGCGGAGATCATGCGATGATGCAGCCACCCCGAAATATGACGTCGATGTCTTGACGTCATTGGGTCAAGCCCCCTTGTACCGATGTATCACCATCAACATCATTCAAAAGGTAAACAAAGTAGCCTTCGTATTAAGAATTTCTCAAGTCAAATTCACCGAGTTCGATTGAATAATAGTCTCAACAATAAACCAAAATGTCATCTGATAACAACAACAACAACAACCAACAGCCCGGCCTCGTCGCTGGCCACGCCGAGTACATCAAAGGCGCCGCCGAGGTAGGAAGCCTCCCATTTGCGCAAAGTGACATCATTCCGTCGCCAGATACTGACATCTTCGAAGGCTGCCATTGGCAACATCACGGGCTCCCACGCCTGGCAATCCTCGGGCGAGCAGGATAAGGCGCACGCTGCGTCCACGATGAAAGCTGCGGGCCAGCAGCGCGACGCCTCGGCACAGGGGTACGGCAAGGCCGAAGAGACAGCAGGAAAGGTGTTTGGGTGCGACGGAATGAAGGCTGAGGGCGCGGCGAGCAAAGCACCCGAGGTCGAGGATGACCGCGAGATCAGAAGGGCATGAAGACATTGAAGATACCCCGTTGATGGCAAATACCGGTAGGAATTCAGGACGTCAGATAAATCAACTGAAGAGATTTCCTTCAAAATGCTATGTTTCGTAAATTTCACCCTCTCCAAGCTCTGCTACCTACCGGTGGTCTGGATGCTCGTTCTCAAATATGAAGTTCTTCGGCTCGACCCCTGCTGCTATCGACCAAGCCGAAATGAGACGGTGCTGAACCTGCAGAAAGTCGGGGTCGGGGAGGTCAAGTCGGTTCTCGGATTTGATGGCGATCACTTCACCGTCTTGAATCAACCTACCCGTCTTGACGCTCCAGTGGTCGTATCTGCCGAGGTGCGGGGGAAGCAAATCGCGGAGGTTCTGGCCTTTCCCGCCCCACTTCTCTTGCATGTTGACATTGGTCTGTCTCATCCAGTGGAAGCGTACTTCCTGGCACCACAAACCGCCAGTGCCTGTCCGACGTCTTTCTGTCGTCTCTTGATAAGATTCACCCCAGGGCTCCAAAGAGAAGCGGCCGTTTTCCCAGTACTGGCGCATTTGGGTATTCATGGAGAGGACGTTGCGAGTTGTGCCGAGAATGTTGTTATCGGACTGTAGCTTATTGTGGACTCTATCCAAGAGATCCGCTGGAAACAAGTCTGGAATGCGGGTTAACTCTGACAAGAATGTTTTTATTGCGAAGGGGACTATGTGGCAAGCCTTCGGGTCCGCCGTTCCAAGTAGGACGCACTTCCTGTCGTCGCGGTTCAGGGCCTGTGGAATAATAGCGTCAGTAAAGGATAAGAGGGTTTAGCCACTGAGATAGACCCAGAGCAAGGGATAAGGAGTACAGGAACAGACGGAAGTGGGGGCGGAGCGGGATGTAGGAGACGGAAATGGGAGATGAGGCCTGGGGAAGAGGAGACAGGAAACGAAGAGATGGGAGACCACACTTACATCCCGTACCACGTTGGGGCTACAGCGTTTCTTCTTCTCATCCCCATTGAGACTTTCGTACAGGTCATGTCTCTTATGAACTGTAAAGCTCATTAGCATGATTCAGCCACCAGGCAACAGGCTGCTTACAGATGTGAAGCGATCGTTCGAAGGCAATGGAGGCTTCTTCAAAATATCCCATGTAAAGTGAGATTTCCTTTGTATCTTTACCACGCCAGAGCTCTCGCAGCTCGTCGCATGCTTCACCAAGCTTGTCAGAGTTCGTTTGGTAAAGGATACACCACAGAGATGCGTGGAATCCTGCCTCGTTCCGATTGATCTCCTTTAAGCAGGATTGGAGGAGTTCATAAATGTCGTCAATCGTCGATGACTTGTCGTCCAATGTCTCGAGGTAGCTCTTTGTACCGAGATCACCGTCCGTCATCTCTGTCATTGTCTCTGTCGTCTCCCGCATCTCGCGCTGCCTAGCTTCCAATTTCTTCTTGGCTGACCTTTTGCGGCGAGCTTCCCAGAAACGGTCCTTATCCCAATCCCAGTCGAAATTGAAGTGCTTCAGCTCCCGCCCTGCGGCCAAGGCCCAGCCTGTGATCAGGAGAAACTGCAGCATCAGGATGTCCGGTTCGGGTAGATCGAGCTTGTGCTCCGCCTTGATAATGGTGATCTTCCCATCAGGAGGGCCGTAAGGCATCGGAAGGTGAACCGGGAGTAGAGTACAAGGATCCGTATAGAGATCCATGTTGTCCATCTCCCTCATATTCAAGCTCTGGATCTGCCTCATCCAGTGGAAGCGTATTTTCTGGCACCACAAACCCCCTGCGTCGACCTTGAGTCTCTTTACCTCAGGTTCCTCCTGTCCACTTGATGATGGCGTGGTTGTAGTTGTAAGAGGAGCGTGTTCCCTACCTGCTTCGGCATGGCCAGAGGTGTTCTCCTGGTATGGCCCGCCCACGGGCTCCAGGGCAAGCCGCCCTTCGCACCAGTACTCCCGGAGCCGGGCGTCTATGCAGATTAGGTTCCGAGTCGTGTCGTTGGTGTCAAGCACGAAAGACTCACATTCTTCATCACAGTGTGATTACGGCGGACCTTCGGCCCAGTAGCATGAGTACTCTTCCTCGCTGGAAGCAGATCACGGCAACTTTCACCATCATTCTCATCTTCGTCATCTTCATCTTCATTTGTCTCGTCTTCGCTGTCGTCGTTGTCCATCCTATCACTGCTGTCGTTGTCGTCGTTGCCGTCACTGCCCTCTTCGTCTTCCTCCTAGTCTTCAATATGTCCCCTCTGGACTAGAAATACAATTAGTACAAAGTTTTCAGTGATTCAAGAGGACACTTGCATGCTCTCAGCGCTCTCCTAAATGCATCTGGGAAGCTGACAGAAAATTTCGAGAAACAATCCCAAAGATCCCCTTGGTCACTACCACTCAATACCCCTTGCAGGCCATTCCGCATCTCTTGTAACTGTTCAAAGGAACATCGATGAAGCGTGCTCCACAAAGCCACAGGCACCTTATCAAGATCTGAGCCTGTAGTTCTCTCCTCGCAGGTCTCCAAAAGTCCGGAGATTTCGTCGACGAAGGGTTTTCTCAATTCCATTTTGCATGTTTTGGAGAGCAGCTCGACTCCACAAGAATAAACAGAGACACGAATTCAAACAAAGAAAGGGGACAGGCATTGAGAACAGACACCTTCAATAAATAAAGGCACGAATGTGGAGAATAATACTACGCCCCCCAGCAGGCCAACTTAATTACAAACTTTCTTTATGGCGTGAGCGTGAGAAATCGCGAAAAGTGTGATGCCCACTGGCGGGACAGCAAGGTTGGCCAGTCCTAACGGCGGTGATGCCAAACCGAAGTGGACGCTCGGAGACCAGAACGGTTCCATATCCTGAGCAGGTTAGAAGCAGCCCGTATTGAGGGTCAGAAAATGGTCACGTAACACTGTCCAGCTACAGAGCAAAATGAACACAACTGAACTCAAAAGAAGTTTTAAAATGAAAATTATTCCTTCAATGTAGCAAGTACCGTGATCGCCAGGAAGCTTGGGGAATTAAATACCAGCTTAATACCAAACTCGTTCGTTTCGTTTGAAGAGAAGCAAAAGGATGATTACACACTTGAGGCAGTAATTTTATCTCCTATTTAGTTTGAACAGGTCTCAAAGAGGCCTATAGTAAGTAGCTGATGCGAAAGGGCTACCACCGTAAGATGATTGGAAGATCGGAAAACACCCATAGCCAATGGTTTTTAGTATTATTAGATGTGCTGGTAATTAACATGAAATTCTTCGCAATCATAAATGACATCGCCTCCCAGGATGAGGCTCTTGTTGCTTCACCCACGAGTCCCTTATAGGCGACCAGCCAGGACTATGGACTGCTTGAGGCATTGTGGGTGACCCAACTACCGCGCAATAGTGCACAGTGATCTGATGCATTTCGTGCTCACTCGTATCACGCTCTTCGTCGTGATGTCTTCGACGCCACTTTTCCGCGGACCCGATTGTCGGTGGAGAAGTGCTGTCGGCCGCACTCGATTCGGCGTTCTCCGTCATCGAGGGCAGCAAGCGGCGAAGCACCGGGACGCAGCCGCAGATGATGGCCAGGTTAGCCTCTAGCGCTGTCCAGATCCAAAGTTCGAAGCCGTCCCATGTGACATCGTATGTCATCTCTTCGACGTAGTACGTCCACCACGTCCTCATGATACCCGCCACAACAACTACTGTGCCGAGACTGAAGAGTATAATCAAGACGATTCTTTGTAGGACAGGAAGCCTCAATCGGAAGAGTGTGGGCATTGGAAGGAGGTAGACGATGATGTCGGTGATTACGGTTGTGATGGTTTGTCCTGCCAGCGGTGGCCATTCTGCCATACAGTTGCGGTCCATGACTGTGAGATCCCAGTAATGCCAGATGGGACTGAAAGTCATTATGTTAGATTGGACCCCAACAAATATGGACCAGGATACTTCACTCACATGCATTGTGTCCAAAGGACCATGAGAAAAATGACAATCAGCGCAAGTACCGCACCAATGGTGACTTGCGTGACTCGCTGGAAGGTGGACCCGAGAGGGGCTATTCTCAGGTAGCTCGTAAGGATAGAGAGCTTTGAGAGGCCAGACGCAAAAACGAAGAGTGTTTGTCCCACGATCGAAATCTGGGCAAGAGCTGTCAGCACTAGGATTCATACTCATACGTTGGGCTTGCATTTCTTACTTGACGGCCCTGTATACGCTGGGCGAATGTCGTGTCCCATATATGGAGGTTCCATCCGTATACTTGGGTGGCTGTGTTGAAAAGTGTCAGCCATCGGTCTAAGAGATGTTTTACATAAGGCCCGTACCAAGAATGACGCACACGGTCACAGATATTGAGAAAATCTGTACTTGTACGTCAGCGTTGAAGCGTGGAGCCAAACAGTCCACATACAGCAGCGCCAACCATGAGCCAATCGTCCCACCAACTCTTCCGCATCATGAATACTCTCACATACAGCCTGAGCAGCAGGCAGATGAGAGCGATGCTGAGTGAGATACTCTCGATGATGAGAAGGGCCGGCCCTCTCTCTTCAGGATCGATATGATTCGGTGGTGGCCATGACTTGACAACTTCGAGCGGTGGGAATCTCATAATGTTCGATATTCAGGTCGTTGTCCACTCGTTTCGAATTCCGTCATAATCTGGGGGGTTGTGGAGGCCGAGTTCGTATCTGGTGAACACCTACCACCGTGGATATCTGGAGGTGGAGAGTCGTGGTGGAGAGAGACACCAGGATGAGGTCTCTGTCGAGTTTTATCTCAATCTCATGGATGGCTCAGATACATATTTGATCCCGAAGAAACCCCTGTTTCTTCAAGCATCAGGGCAAGACAACAGAAGAAGTGTTTCTGCAACGCTACCGGCCGCTAGAGCTTAAACCCACCGGGGCAAACCCACCACGCTTGTCTGTATCAATATGGCGGACGAGCGCATCGTGTTTGACGCTTCGAAACTGGCGGTCTAACTGCCGCGCGACTAACCGCCGCGCGACTAACCGCTTTTCTTCACCTGTCTCAGGAAGAGTCTGAACAAAGAAGTGAAGGCGTCACGGGAAAGGAGATTTCACAGACTTCTACGTTGTATCACGATTCCGTAATAGCGGGGTGGGCAATTCGTGGGCTTGTCTAACTTGAGTCAAAGTCACGGAGCTATTTCAGTTGGAGGAGGCGCTAGTGGACGCCATTCACCTGTACCGACACCGTCCCGTCATGACCCTGCGTGAGCTAAAGGGACGATCGAGCCCCGATTGAGATGGCGCCGCATAAAGATCGCTCAAATTTTGCAGGATCAAGAAGCTCTAGGAATGTCAGACGTTAGGTGACAGCTAATCAAGGCGACGGCTTGGAAGGTTCTGTCAGGACATTGACAAGCTGGGAATGTCTTACTCCCTCGCCTTGTCGTGAGATATGTCCATGTCGTTAAAAGAATAGAAAATCATGCTGAAGAAGTGAAATGCTTAACGAGAATGTGAGACAAATGTCTAATCACATGCTCCCCAGCCCCTCTTGGGCACCGATGATCGCCCGGGGCCTCCTCCGCGATGTTCCACTTCAGTTCGGCATCTCGAGAGCTCTCCACTGATCGACACCAGGAAATCTTCATAGGGCAGGAAGACCGCGAAACTAGTTATCCTCGTTTTGGACCGTCAAAGCTGCGAAAATACAGGGAGCTCCGGTCATCCGAATGATTGTGCTCCGAGGCTTTGGCAAGGGAATTTCAGAGTCAGAAATCTCACGTGGAAGGCTGAGGCATGACAAAGGGGCGATCGCGGCTGTTTGGATACCGCCCTTTGCTACAACGACTCGCGACCACCGAGTCGCAAGGCGGCGGGAGCAAAAACGTCCCGTCCGCCCTGCCGTCCTGCCGTACACAAATACCGCTACCGTTGGGCACCACCAAAGTGCCCATGTGGGACTTGTGGCTTCGACCATCCTACTCATGTGCGGTCTTGACCAGAGTGTGCTCCTGCCACTGAGGCTTGGCTCCACGATTAACAACTCAAATTCCGCCGTGGTCTCGAAGAATGCCTTTTACAGAGTAGCGGGTTGATTTTTGAGTTTGCCCTTGATCAAGGGCTCTTTCTCGCTGGCATGCTCGGCATAACGGCTCAGCCCCTTTCCGGTTGCGGCGCAGAGTTGATTACGAGTCTACTTTGAGCTCAAGGACGCAATTACCCTTTTGCACGCAACGATTCAGGTTTCCGTGATTTCAAAGTAGCATTGACCATGCGTTTTATTGTTGGCAGAACTACCGGTAATTTTGGTTGATTCCACTCAACGCCTCCCACAGAGCCTGATCTTCGTCACTTCTGGCATCGCAACCATCAGGGTTCACACATCCAATCCACGCCCGGTATTCGGGCTCACAGACCGTGTCGATCTCCGGGAGAGTCCCGTCTTGGAAGTATGCCCGAACAGCCTTACCGGTACAAATCGACGGGGAGGCATGCAAGCCGTGGCCTTCCGTGTTTTGGTGGAGAACAACCGATCCGGGGAACAAGGTGGATACTCGATGAGCGCTTGGACAGGAGTTAGCACCATCACGGGGTAAAGACACATCGACGGACGTCTTACTTTCTTAGTGGCGTTACGGGATCATACGTGTTGCCAATTATAAGAAGTGGGTATGAGGTATTCGCCGTCCACGGGCCTACCGTTGAGTCAGAGAAACGCTCCAGGAGGCAAGACATCTCGATGGCGTACGTACCTTCAACTCTCCAAGCTGGTCTTGCTTTCCAGTTTATACAGAGCATGCGGTGTCCGCTCCAGGATGCTCCTAAAACATCGCTCTGGTCCCGAAGTTCCTTGAAATATTCTCGAAATTCTGCCTTGCTCGTGTTTCGTAGGTCCGGGCCATCGCCACAGGCAATGGCTGCAAAGAATCCACTAGGCCCCTGGTCTCTCACACAAGCGGCGGAGTACGACCCATCCTTGATGCAGTCAGCATTGAGAGATAAGGGGATCAGGTCCCCTTCCATCTTAAGAGCAGCTGCTGAGGTTCCGTTGCGATCCAGAAGGTCACTGAATAGCTCAAAATAGGGTTCAACAAGCTTTTGGTCGTACACAGAGTCGGCAAAGAGTTGCATGATATCAGGGTAGTCGATGACAGTGGGGCCATGCTCAGCGGTGCCGGCAACTGGAATGGGCTCTTCAAGCAAAGAATTCGCTAGGCGGGCCAGTCGCGCGTTGATGATACTTGGCGGAGTATGAGGAGACGCGAGAGGGCAAGCTTCCGGTGCCTGGTTGCAGTAGCTTGCCCATCGTTGGAGGATCTGGTCAGTATCTTGCAGGTTCTTCAGCCACTTTGCGGAATAGTAGTCGTCAGGGTCTACAACCCCATCTATCAACACCCGGGATACGCGGTCGGGGTGCATCACTGAGAACGTCTGTCCAAGGATGGTGCCGTATGACACACCCCAGTAGTTCAGTTTCTCTACCCCCTTCTGCCAGCGTGTTGTATCTAGAATTCGCTCACGATCTGACTTTGAAAAGTTGGAGACGTCATATGAGCTGATGATACGCTGAGCCTCAACCTCTCGCCATTCGGCATGTCGTTCAATCATGGCAACGATATCTTCGACAACCTGGGCAGTGTTGGCGAACTCAGCCATGTTTGGCTCGTCGCCTCGTCGAGTAGCACAACTTTCGCCAAAGGCACGGTAGTTTGCCCAGGCAAGGTCGACATAGGTGTCAGAGACTCCGAAGAGAAAATCGCTTGGCTGCCGTGCCAGGAAATTTGACTCGGACTGCTTGGTTGGGAAGCACGTCAGATGAGGCGTGGTATTGTTAACAGCACGAGCATCAAACCCAATGATATCGAAATATTTGCCATCTGAGAAACCATCCGGAGTAGAAGCGGGATGTGCCGCATCCACAATAGTCTGCATGTGGCGCCCTTTGCGGAGCACTTGACCGACGCCGGAGTTTCCGGGGCCGCCGGGATTCAAGACGATGGCGCCGCCGTAGCGGGGGTCCGTGACGGGCACCTTTGCCGGGACCTTGATCACGGCGACAGCCGCCCTCGCCGGGTTCGCGGTGTCATTCCAGTTAATTGGGACCGACAGACGGGCGCATTGATAACCGCCGAAGCAGGGATGGTAGATGAATTGCTCCTGGGGCACAATCTAAAAAGCGATTGGATGTCATCATCCAGTTCGGACTCGCACCTCAGCTGAATGTGGGTTCTCAATGTCAGACGCACCTGGAGCCAATCAAACTCTGGATCAGCCAATGGTGAGGATGGCAAACTTGGCGGCCTGTCGCTGAGCGAGATGAAGGACGGAAACGAGAAATACAGAATGAGCCCAGATGCGATAGCGGCAATCCTGATCGCATTCGTCTTCCGGGGGCAAGGTTGATGGGCTTGTCTGGGCTCGTCGGCCAGGCCAAAGCCAACTGGGTAGGACTTGTCCATTACGCTTGTGTCGAGCAACTACTCGTCGCAGTCGGACATGAGGGTGATGCGAGTGAGACCAGACGGTGATGGAACAGGCCAAGAAGCCAAGGACATGGTCGAGAGAAATGTTGCTGAGACGTGAGGGTCAGAGTAGAATTTAACAGGCGTTCCGGACGCCGGTGAGCGCGCGCAATCGATTACCAGAACAGGCAGCTCGTGTTGATTCATCGTTGAGTAGTAGGGCGGCGTGCGCCTGTAGCGCCGTTGTTAGCAGGCGTATAAGCGACGCTGATGTATTCCATTGCTGCCAGTACTCTCAACGTGCTAAAAGACCCGTGGAATAAGCGACGGGAAGCATTGTCTGGCATATGTGGCACTGAATCAGAATCCTTCAATGCCGTAAAGGCAACCGATGTAGCCGATGATCAGCCTGATCATTGATTTGTCGGCGACAAATCTCAATCTTACTGTGAACATACAACGTGAGAGATTAGGGCGTCAGCAAGAGAGCGAGACTGGTGCTGTCGCAGTGGAGCATAGGCTCAAAATGTAGAAGACTGGTGCTGTTGCAGGCCGGTAATAAAACGGAAAGCCGGATGGATGTTCAGTACTCTCTGTAATTATGATCCCCACTGCAGCTGAATGCGCGACGGACCTAATCGAAGTCGTTGTCTGGCATGGTCGACACCGTCTGGAGAGTGATATTCACATTTCAATAATCAGAAAAACCTCGATAAATACCGAAAGCTACCGAAGGTTGATGGAATACAGAAGACAGCATGCACATACTAACTGTTGCCGCTCAAGCCAGTATCACCCTCAGCTTACTCAATCACTACAACTTTAAGAAACGCGCACTCAACAATCATACTGTCATCTTCACACAACGAAATCACAGTGCCCTGCCTTCGCATTAATGCCTGTTGTGAATTCTCGGGGGTGGCTAGAAGACCACTTTTCTTCTTCAAACGTTCCCACCCTGTCACGCTACTGGGCTCTAGGTAACACTAGGTGAATAGGTCACGAGGGCACGAGGGACGACACAAGCGCATGCGAATGTCTGTTGTGCCCATGCGAATAACGGCCCTTCTATCCGTCTCCCCTGGTAGGGCCGGCTCTTCATGTCAACTTGAGAGGCAGACGCAAACACGTGGAATTGCAAGCTTTGGTGCCACTATCTAGTATCATTGAGTGCC